TTTCGACAGATGGTAACTCTTCGCAGCCAAACCTCAGAGACAGTGCCACCACGGAAGCGTCCATTGTTGACCCCGTTTGCGACCCAGTCGACGATAAACTTCTAGCGCATCTAGTGCGTTATGCTCCCATTGCCTTGAATTTTATTTATGCTACCAAGGAAGTGGACATGCAGCTCCTTGCTGCCCAACAGGGTTGGCGGTTGTTATACGCCTACTTGGATCAATCCATGGACGCTGATCAATTGACGGACCGACCAGCATCCGCCATCTTTGTTAATGAAGAACTGAAGATAGCTTGTTTGGCAGTCCGAGGAACGGCTACTATTAATGATGTGGTCACAGATATTCGTCAGATTCCAGTCCCGTTTCCGGATGTGGATCCTGAGAATAGTAGTGACAGTGAAGCAATTGTCGAAGAAGAGGAATGGACCGACGTTTTTCGTGGGCAAGGACTTGCACTCTGTGGAATGGCATCAGCGGCTCTCAATCTATTTCGTGAACATATTGATTCGTTGATTTTGTTGGCCAAGGATGGGTATCGTTTGCGTCTTACTGGACACAGTTTGGGAGGTGGGGTTGCGACGATGATGGGTGCACTGATCCTTCGCCATTTGCAGAAATACACTGACCTGGATACACGGGCAGTTTCAGCGGCAACTCCCGATAGCGTGGCAGAGGAAAATGATCTATTGCGAGTTTATGCTTATGGAACCCCGTCGTGCATGGATGAAAAACTCGCCGAGTCAGTCGATACCTTTACTACTACAGTGGTTCTTCATGATGACGTCTTTCCTAGGTTGACGGCCACGAGTTGCCGAGCCTTGTTGAAACACCTTTTGCATATTCGAGAGACGTGGGTCAAGACGCACATTGAAGAAGATCTTCGAGCAGTGGGAGAGCGCGCCAAACAGGTCTGGGCGCCTCGATTCCGCCAGTCCTTTGCGCTCAAGGCAAATCCAGTGTCCATTAAGCGGTACTGCAAGCGACAGTTGGACAATGGGCGAAAGAAACTGCTACAGGTCACGGAAAAATTCCCCTGTGGAGATGACGAAAAGGCTGTCAACGATGACGAAGAGACCTTTGTGCAAGACGAAGATTTGTTCCGTGACCATCACGCCGGCAAAGCAAGCCCTTCGCCAATCCGAAACAGCGCAGTTGAAGAGAAGAAGGATTCGTTTGACATGGACATGGAGAAACCAGGCCCACAGCTTGTATTGGAGTTCCTAGGTGGCGCTGACACGACAGTTGAAGGCATTGTGATTGACGGAGAAGAGTTCTTTGATGCTGGTGGCAATTTGTTGGAAAAGGGAAATGATGGAATAGACGACGCATCGACTATTGGAGGTTATCATGATCCAGTGGAGTCCATTATGGACGAAGCAAGCGCATTGACCGGTGGCGAAAGCTGGTCGTTTGATACGAGCCCAAAGAAGAAAAACTCGCTGTTAGAACATCCGGAAGAGGTAGATCAAGCTACAGAAAATGATCCCTCCGCTGTCTTCCTGGAAGAAACAAAGCTGCACAGAATGTTCATCCCAGGAAAAGTCGTGCACATTTACTCCCATCGGGGTGTATACAAAATTGCACAAGTGCCCAGAGCTTTCCGAGAACTAAGAAGAATCAGTCTGGCTGGGAATATGTTATCCAATCACGGCACAAAATCCTACTATGAAGCCTTATTGGAGGTGCAAACAGCTAGAGTAGCTGCTGAGCGACCACCTAGATGGACAGCCTTTGACGAAGACAATACATGGTGAGTAAATGATGAACTTGCTTTCGTAGCCGGATTGATCTGAAGTCTAAACCTGTATTATTCTTTAGTTCATGCTGTGCCAGTCGCTTTACATGGGCCAGTACCTCCAATAGCGAGGCGCAACAAGCGAGAGATAAGCACAACTGTAGATCTTGTGGAGGCCTCGTCTGCGACCCTTGCGCTAAGAGCCGAGTGCCTGTTCCTTCTGTTGGTCTCACAATACCGGTTCGCGTTTGCGATCGATGCTACAACGACATGAGTGGCGCTTCTACAGCGAAGACTCTAGAATCACCTATTTCCGTGTCATCCGAGAATGCTTCGCCATCCAAATCCTTTGAGAAAGTGGAGTATCCTGAAGCTGATCATCGGCCTGAACGGCTACGTACGAAACGTAGCGCAGTGGTTGACGATTTGGCATCCCGCATTCGATCATCTGCACTAGCAAATTATTCATAAATACATCCTTTCTAAACTATTTAAAACCTGTTAGGATCACTTTACCACTCAACTGCTGGTGTGCATGATTGAACGCCGTATTTATTCTTTCCTCTGTCACGCAAACCTAGCGACTAGCGAGGCGCCTGTGAACAAGTCACACCCGATCGACCACTATGACTACAATATCATTGCCATCATTGGGTTGAGTTTGTCTCTGTCTCCATAACATCGACTTTGACCAATACGAAATATGAAGACAAATCAGTGGCCCTGGAATTTGCAGCACTTGTATCTGATCAACCGAATGAATCCCCAGTAAAACGTTTCGATCGTCAAACTTTTCATGGGATCCATAACTCGTTCATGGGATCGCAATCCCCGAGCGTTTGACCATTCTTTATGATCGATGATATGGATGATAGGGGTCATACCGTGCTTTGAGCTGAACTTGGAAACGTCGGTTGAAATGGAAAGTTGTATTATGCAATACTTGTATCAAATGCCAGAAATATGTTAATCTTTCAAAAGACCAATGTGAGGTTTTGAAGAGAAGCTGGTAGCCTTATTTTGCTCATCACCCACACGTCGGAAACTGGCAACTGGCAGCGATGATTCTTCATCTCTTCTCCAGAAGGCATCCTAACTCGATTGGCCTTGGGAAAGTGGCGGAAGGACGTTGGAAAAGATTCGTCATGTCCAAAGCAATGCCTTCGGTTCCTGGGAATATTCGAGTCTCTGACGAGCTGTATTTGCAAATCCAAAGACTTTGTCACTATTCACAACGCCTGCCAAATATCAACGTCTTTGGTACAACCCTTCGTACATTTACATCAATATCAAAACCAGTTGATGAAAGCGATGATAAATCTTCACCTGTAGGCACCAAGATTATTGAAATCGACACGATTTCGTGGTCGGACGACCCGGCCAAATGGCTCAAGGAAACATGCATGTCATATCAATTTGCGGACAAGAAGAAATCAACTGTTGACAAGCTTCTACCAGACCAATGGATGAATACTCACAATGCCTCACATTGGATGCCAAGAATTATGAAGGCAATGTGGAAAAAGCGGAATCTTGGGACGGATGTACTCGAAGCGGAGAATTTTGGAAGGTTGACTTCTCTTGAGCAGTCTCTCCTCCTTTCTTGTTTGAAAAAGTCCTAGGCCGATGATCGCTATGTTTGCGACTTTATGGCCCTTTGTGAGGCAGTGAATCGACTCGAGGACGCAACGGATTTGGAGAAAATAGCGGCTAATTTGCTCGAGAAGATCATTGTTTTTCAATCACACGCCTCTCCAGAGAAACATTGCGAGGTACATCATACGTGGCCAGTTTGTGCTTTGGGCTCAACAGAAGACCCAAGAAATTACAAGGTTGTCTCATGGAAGGCCCATCTTCTTTGCCACGTTGCTCTGGCATCCCTCTTTCCATCCATTCGGGGATTCAATTTAACGGTCGCCCGGATGCTGCACCTTGGGGAGAGTAAATTGACTGAGGAAGAGATACTGGCATGCCTCGAACGGGAGGTGAGTCCAAATGCATACACGCTGAATTCCAACCTAGATTCCAACGTGTTTGTGGTATGGACCAATAGGAGTTAGTTGGCGCTGCTGCGAATGCACGAGAAAGAGCGTATCAAGATTTACTAGATGCTACACAAAGACAATGGGATAACTGGTTTAATCAATTGCTTGCATTCAAAGACGAACACGGGCATTGTCTAGTTCCTGTATCTTTCCCAGGACTTGGCATGTGGGTGGCCAAGCAGCGTTGCCTTTCTCGAAAGGATATTCTGAGTGACGATCGAAAGCGACAGCTGGAAGCGATTGGGTTTGTTTGGAACCCACTTGATGAGCAGTGGGATGGCATGATGGAGCAACTTGCTGCTTTCAAAGACGAAAACGGTCATTGTCTAGTTCCTCGATCTTTCCTAGGTCTTGGCAGATGGGTGGACACACAACGTGTACTTTATCGAAAGGATATTCTGAGTGACGATCGAAAGCGAGAGCTGGAAGCGATTGGGATTGTTTGGAACCCACTTGACGACCAATGGGATAACTGGTTTAATCAATTGCTTGCATTCAAAGACGAACACGGTCATTGTCTAGTTCCTCGATCTTTCCCAGGACTTTGCAGATGGGTGGACAAGCAACGTGGACTTTATCGAAAGGATATTCTGAGGGACGATCGAAAGCAAGAGCTGGAAGCGATTGGGTTTGTTTGGAATCCACTCGACGAACAATGGGATAACTGGTTTAATCAATTGCTTGCATTCAAAGATGAACACGGGCATTGTCTAGTTCCTGTATCTTTCCCAGGACTTGGCATGTGGGTGGCCAAGCAGCGTTGCCTTTCTCGAAAGGATATTCTGAGTGACGATCGAAAGCGACAGCTGGAAGCGATTGGGTTTGTTTGGAACCCATTCGATGAGTAACGGAATGATAGGATTGATGAACTCTGTGTTTTCAAAGAAGGACAAGTTTGGTAGCAA